ATGTTTTATTTAATGAAATCACGTAAAGGTCGATCTTGCACATTATATTTATGGTATGTGGCAAGCCATTTATAATATAAATATGATTCTGAATTTTTTCCTTGCTTTATTTATATGACTTGGAAATCATCCAAGCATATTATATGAATTTTTTTTTATCCAATGCCAGTAGTTTTAATTTCAAACTTAGGAGACGTTGCACCTTAAGTCGTACCTGTGCAAAATTCCTTATTTATACGGTATAAGAAAATAAAGACCTTTTTATGAAAAATTTTTTAAATAAATATGAAGAAACAATGAATAATATAATATTCCAAGATTTGCTTAAAAAGAAGGGTATAACGGTACAATAACGGAATTACCTCTTTGAACAGTTCCAGCATAGTTCCAACCATAGATAACTAAGCATCCAACCCTTTCTTAGCACTCACAGATTAATAATTTATAAATTCATTTTTACATTATTAATTTAATATTTTAATCTAGGTGTCAGTTTAATAATTATGTTCGACTTGATATCTATAATAACTGAAGTGAAGTTAATCTCAGATTTTATTCTATTTTTTTTTGTTTTTTGTAGTGGTACTACTGGGGTGACTAAATGTACCGTACCACCGACATTTCAGTAATTGTTAATCATAAGTCAAGCTAAGTAACTAAAAGGTCCAGTGAATTTTTGCTTTTGCTTTATTTTAATTGCAATAAATATTACATAATTATTTTTCAGGAAATCTTACCTCAATTGTAATAAGTGAATAGTTTTTAAATTATGTATGGAGTAATTTAATTTTTTATAGTCGTGATGATGTTTTTAAATCTTGAAAAATGGTTGTTGTGTTTTGTTCTTTACATGTTGCATAATATGTGTTTGTGACTGATGAAAATAAGTATTCAGTTTCGCACAAAGCATATTTATTACTAGTTGGAAATTAATAAAAATGTACTTAAAAACTGAATAGAAGTAAAAATTTGCAGTGTTGTCGACGGTTAATGACATTTCTTGTGAAGTCTGTATACTTTGTATAATTTGACATTTGTTTGACTAAAGTTCTGATTTAACGTAAGTTTACATTATTTACTTATCATCAGCTCTTCATATTGCTCCTGTAAAGGTAAGTCTTTTTTAATTTTATTTATATGAAGATGAAATTATGTAATATTGATGAAACTTTTTTCAATGTCGCAGTTAGGGTTTTTATAAATGTTAGTAAATATTCGCTTGTTTGACATTTACATTATTGGTTCTTTACTGCAGTTTTTTTATTATATTTCTTTTATTATATCCTTTAGTTCTTAAAATATGAAATTGAATCATCTTATGGTTTCATCCTAATCGGATACGATACATATATATTATTGTTTACATTTATACAATGTTCTGTTTGAACACTTATACGCATTAGTGCATTTTAAATCTATAAAATATGAATTGTGAAATTCACAGTATATATTTATAATATTCTATTTAAAAATACACAAAATTATTATTAATCACTAGCTGTACCCTTCACGCTTTGCCCTGATTTAGTTTAAATTAAAAGGTTGAACAAAGATGTGTATTTGTTACATTTAGTTTAACGTTACTACTATCTGTTCAACAATTACCTATTCAACAATTGTCTACAAATTACCTATAAACTTGTTAAATCAATCTACCATTTCACCGACTACTAGTTTACCTGTCAACCTATTTACATATCAACCAACGTTTCACATGTCTACCACTTTACTTATCAACCTGTTATCCGTCTTGATAATTGTCTATCTACCATTTTACATATCCTTCAATTTACTGAACACCAGCTATTTAACAAATTACCTTTTCACTAATTTACTTGTCTACCAATTCACCTATCGACCTGTTTATCAATACACTATTTTACCTGTCATCTTGTTATAAAATGTCTACCAATTAACCTGTTCAATAAGTTCCTGTTAAACAATTTACCTTGCTTAAAAATTTGTCTACTAATTTACCTATCAACCTGTTTATCAATCTACCATTTAACCGACTTACAAATTTACCTTTCATC